AAGAGCGCCACCAGCTGAGGATTGCGCACTCACGACAGTCAGCCTGTGCAGGACCTTTCACCTTTTCTCAGGGCCATGGGATTTTGTGTGATTTTGACTCTTCTTTCATATGTGTTCAAAATGTGCCCCCTCTCTCCCCTTTCCCTGTAGCATGAATAATGAAAAGCCAGAGATAGATATTGGGGTTCAACCTGAAAACCAGATAAACAAAGCAACCAATCCACTAGAGAAGTCTTAACCTCTACCAAGGCTGGGCGACTGCAAACTAAACAGACTAAGCCTCTCTCTCCTCCCATTTTATATTCCCTCTAGTGCTGGGATTAAGGGCCTGTGACTCCCTAGGACTGGGATTAAAGGTGTGAGCCACGACCACCCCACCGGGATTTGTTTCTGCATTGATTTTGTGTAGCTCAGGGTGGCCTTGAACTCACAGAGTTCGATTTGACTCTGTCTCCCAAATCTTGGGATTAAAGGTGTGTGTCACCTTTCTCTGACCTGTAGTGGCTTTAGTTTTGTCTCTGGTCTTCAGGAAAGATTTAATTATCAAAATATAAGTAATATATCACTACACTTCCCCTCCCTTATCTTTCGTCTGTTTCTCTGTCCCCTTCCTTTTCCGTCATGCACTACTGCACACTCGCTCACACAGGCACACAGCAACCCTCAGCCTGCAGCATCATGGAGAAGTACAGGGGCATAAAGCCTCAACTCCCTGATAGCAACAGAGACGTGGCTGCCTGGCCTATTATGAGCATAAAAGAAAAAGAAAAAGACTTCAAGTGTTGATTTTGACAACAGAGCCATTTCTAAAGGCAGCAGGCCCTCGGAGCTCTCCTTAGAACATTCTAACTTTACAGAGTAGGTGATAAACATTTTTGTTCTCTCTGGTGCTGGGAACTTGGAAACAATTTGAGCAAACACTATGATCAAAGGAAAAAAGAACCAGATTTTTCTTTGCATATATTTTAAGACCCTTATGTTAGAAGCAGCTGGAGCAATCTCAGCAGTCTCCCTCCTCCCTAGTAATCATTTCTACATTTTCATGATAACGTATTTGCCTGTGTGTCCTCTTCTATTACCTACTTGAGACCGTCGTAAAAGACTCCATGAAAAATGAGCTACTTGGCCATGATACTGTTTCTAGTTTTTCTCATTTTTTTTTTTTACAAAGGAATAAATTGAAGCAGTGGACTTGTCAAAGTTATGGATCCTAAAAGATATATCAGCTTCTCCCACCTGATGGAACACTCATATTCTAGAAACATCCAGTGTGAGCGTCAGCCTAGTCAAATTTCCTATCAAAAATCAGGACACAAGGGCTGGACAGATGGCTCAGCAGTTAGGAGTACCAGCCGCTCTTGGAGAGGACCAGAGTTTGATCCCCAGCACTCCTGCCCCCTCACAATCGCCTGTAACTCCAGCTCCAGGGGATCTGACATCTTCTAGTCTCCATGGATACTGCATACACACTGCACACAGACATACATGCAAGCAAAACACTCGTATACTTAGAGTATACGAAATCTTTAAAAATAATTGGGACATGGTAGCACGCATTCAATGCTTCACCAGAATGAAATGTTTATTGAATATCGCCTAGGATGTTCATGTTGCTGCCCCAGCACACAGCGGTTGGGAGGAGAGTGGCAACCTCTCAGTCTTGGTGCATTTGAGACAATGTCTGATTCCTCCATATTGTGATTAGAAAGCAGAGTAGGACCATGGAGGGGGAGAGGGGACAATACACTCAAGAGTGAGAAAGACGGGGGAATATTTTGCATAAGTAGGGTGTCTTGCGAATGCAGTCATTTCTAAAACTGGGTTTTCTTTTTTAAAAGATTTATTTATGTATACAGTATCCTTCCTGTAGGCCAGAAGAGGGCACCAGATCTCGTTATAGGTGGTTGTGAGCCACCATGTGGTTGCTGGGAATTGAACTCAGAACCTCTAGAATAGTAGTCAGTGCTCTTAACCGCTGAGCCATCTCTCCAGCCCTAAAATTGGGGTTTTGTCAGGTTTGTGTGGTGTTGTGGTTTGTGAGAATGTCCCCCACTGGCTCAAATATTTGGACATTTGGTTCCCATTATGTGATGCCCTTTTTGGGAAGCTTATGGAACCTTGCGGGGGGCGGGGGTGTGTTACAGCCTTGATAGAAGATACATGTCCTGGGGGTTCTTAATCTCACCCCACATCTAGTTTTCTCTTTCTGCCTCATTCTTGTTAAAGATGTGAGCTCGCAGCTCCCTGCTCCTGTTACCTTGAGTATCACCTGTCACTGAGCTCCCCATCCATGATGGCCTTTATCCTTCTGGGACCATAAGTCATAATAAACTCTACCTCCCCATAATTGTTTTGTCAGTGTTTTATCACAGCCATGAAAAGTAGTTAATACTTTTGGCGACCCTTTCCTCACTCTAAGAAACAATATGCTTACGTCCTAAACCCTAGAAACTGAAGCTATACCAAAACCCCAGAGTCTGGATAATTTATGCAGACACAATAGAAAATTCACAGTCATAGAGGCAATGAGTTGGAGATGAAGGGACCAGCAGATTTCGTGTTTAATGAGGTTTGTTGTCTGCTTGTGTCTTATTTTTTTTTCCCTCAAGACCTTTCCCTACCCACTGGTGCAGAGCCTCTCTCCTGCACTTGTTCATAGAGCCCATGCTGTACCCCAGTTCACCACAGATTTTGTAGGGGACACACACATTCTGACCACCACAGTGTTATTTGGAAAGGAACTTTTTGCTGTAGCTAACACAAGCATTTTGACAAGAGGCCATCTATGGAGGGAGGACCAAAGGACAGCCATCAGAGACAGTGGTCGCACACCAGGTGGAGCCTGGGGAGGTGCAGCTTCAGAAGAGGGAATGTTGACAGCCACCAGCAGCAAGGAACCAATATAGGGACGCCCAGAGCAGTGGGTTCTCAACCTGTGAGATGCGACCCCCACAGGGGTTGCATATCGGATCTTTACATTACAACTCATAACAGTAGCAAAATTACAGTTATAAAGTAGCAACAAAATAATTTTATGGTTGGGGGTTACCACAACATGAACTGTATTAAAGGGTAACAGCATCAGGAAGGTTGAGAATCACTGTGCTACAGTGTCCAGGGGAGACAATGCCCAGATAACACTCTGCTTCTGAAGTTTATTCTCTAGAAGGCTTCTCTTTTGCTGAAAGGCTCCAAGGCAAGCCAATGGGTAAAAAAGGGCTCAGACTTTAGGTTTGTTTGTGCTAGGATTAAAGACGCGTATCATTATACCCAGCTTCAACCACCTTTTAAAAACACAGCTTTAAAGCAGGTGGTGGTGGTGCTTGTTTTAAATCCCAGAACTCGGGAGGTAGAGGCAGGTGGATCTCTATGAGTTTGAGGCCAGCCTGGTCTACAGAGCTAGTTCCAAGGCAGACTCCTAAGCTACATGTAGAAATCCTGTCTCAAACAAACAAACTAACAAAAACAAACAAAAAACTAGAAAGAAATGCCGTATTCTGAGGGCATCATTTTCCCCCTTCCTCCTGCTGCCTGGAATATGAATGTGATGATTGATCTCCAGATTCAAAGATAAAGTCTGGGAGTCTATGAACCTAAACACACACACACACCAATACAAATTTTTAAAAAGGAAAGTTAGAAAAAAAAGAAAAATCAAGTCCCAGAAGCCTTTAATGAGGAGAGGGAAGAAACAGGTAACTTCATAAAAAATAAATACGAGGGCTGGAGAGATGGCTCAGAGGTTAAGAGCATTGCCTGCTCTTTCAGAGGTCCTGAGTTCAATTCCCAGCAACCACATGGTGGCTCACAACCATCTGTAATGAGGTCTGGTNTAAAAAGGAAAGTTAGAAAAAAAAGAAAAATCAAGTCCCAGAAGCCTTTAATGAGGAGAGGGAAGAAACAGGTAACTTCATAAAAAATAAATACGAAAACCTTCCCTTGCTCCCTCCCTGTGGAAAGGCAGGACAATTGGTCCCAATGTTCCCCTGCAAGGCAGGCTTTGTCCACTGGCAAACCAGAGGTCAGCGTGTTGCAGAGCTGGACCGGGAGGATTCCACACTAACGCCTAGGCACCTACCCTTTCCCCTTTGAAGCTATTAGGGGGTTTTGGAAGGTGGGAAGAAATTGATTTCAGGGGTTATTAAGTTTAAAATATTGGTTCTATAATATTGCTCAGCTTTAAATACTGCACACGTGTTTGTGAAACACCATGAATTCACCCAAAAGTTATGTTGTCAGAGGGCTCTGTCTCGTCCCACCCTTCCTGCCTCCTGCTCAGGTCAACTTAGGGTAATAGACTCCCAGCTGGGCTCCCCACATCCTCGCTTCACACCATGGTCTCCTAAATGCTGCCTTTCTGGGCCTGGGGTTGTGGCTTAGTGTGCAGAATAACAGACTAGCAAACAAGAAATCCTGGACTACTGGAGGTCGCCTTTCCCCTCAGTTCCTCAGAATCTCGCGGCAGCAATCCTCCTGCCTCAGTCTCGGTATTGCTGGAACTGCAAACTGCACCCCTGAAACCTGGCCCCATAAACTGTCCTCCACTCTCTTCTTCTGGAAGTTCAGGGATGCCAGGGTCTTAAATAGGATGAGCTGTCTGTCCTATGCTCTAATGCTTCAGAGTCCAGGGTCCCCTCAAAGAGTGAGTCTCGAACCTCATCTCCGCATTTGGGCTTGCACCCCACGTCTCACCTGGTCCTGGTGTGGTGGGGAGGGCAGTCTCAGTCTCCTAGCCATCATGTTGCATGTGGGAACCCACTCATGGACACCATGGGAGGAGACACAGGCTACCTGTGTGTGGGTCCCCGGAACAGTGGACACCCCTCACCTTCCTGAGCTCGCGGATGCCTGACACCTGGGCTCGTGACCCCTCCCCACCCGCTAGTCTCCTCAGGTCCCCTCAGGTCCCCAGCCCTCCCTTCTCCCTCCACTCCTCCCTTCCCTTTTTGACCCCTCCCCTCTCCTTTCCTCCCCTTCCAATCTTTCCCCTTTTCCGTCCCTCTTTCTAGTTCTCCTTTCTGCTCCTGAACCTGCCGCTCCGCCTGGGAGCGGCGGGCGGGGCCGAGTCCATCCGGACCCCGCTGAGGCCCGGGGCCTGGTGGCTCAGTCCTTTGCGGTAGCGACATGCGTCTCCTGTTCCTGGCGGTGCTGCGGCCACACACCGGCAACGCGATCACCGCCGAGCGCCTGCGGTATGTTGCGGGGCCTGATCATCCCTCGCCTGGGGATACCGGGCTGGGCCGGGCGCCGGAGCTGCGCGTGCACAAACGGCTGGGTCATGGGCGCAGGTGCCGCGCGGGGGCTGCAGCTTTTAACCCAGCTGCTGCTACCCTGTCTGGCTACTGTGAGTGCCCTAGGGTGCGGAAAAGGGACGGCCTGGGCCAGCGCTGGCGGGTTTGGGGGAAGACTCAAAGGCTCCGCAAAAGGCCTCGGTGCAGAGATGGGGTTTGGGCAGACTGGCCTGGGATGCGAAGGGGGGCACCCACGTGGCTGGGGAAAAGCAGAGTCCCAGTGAAAGGTAGACCTACATGGCTGGAGAAAGGCCCCGAGACCTGGTGGATGGTCCAGCACGTGCAGGGATCCAGGGTCCATATTTTGTTGCAGCTGTTCCCCGCCCGCACCTCCCATTTGGTTCTCTTCCGAATGCTCAGCTTATCTTGTTAGGTCCTTTGTTTGTTTACCTGGGATGGAAGCCGGAGCCAGGACAAGGCAAGGGAAGAAGGGTCCATTCTCTGGCTATCTGCTTGCCTGGATCAAACAGGGCTGGTCAGTATTAGTGGGAGATAGATGCTTACATGCTCAAGCCTAGAAGTTAGCTTGCTCCCCCTCCTCTATCTCCCTCTCTCCCTTCACCTGCTTCATGGAATTTCCCAATGGCTTCCCCCTCTGTGGGTCTGTTTCGTCATCACGGGACAGAGGGGACAGAGCCGTTGAGGCTACTCCAGCCCTCACAGACCAAGTTCAGCTTGAAAATGTTAGAGTTCCTCTCAAGATCGCAGTGAACAACCAGTGGAGGGTGGATGCTTTCCTGAAGTTTCCTGGAGAAGAGACAGGGTTTGGATTGTGTGCGTCTCCCCTCCATCTAGTTCAGTCACTCATTGGGCTCTCTGTGGGCGGGTCTTAGACAGAACTCTTTGCTGTGGAAGACACAAGATGAACAAACAGAAAAGTCAATCATTCCAGAGGGTGATTGGTGCTATCAGGCAACTAAAACCAGACTGGGAGTGTGGCCAAGTTGGTAGAATGTTTGTCAAGCAAGCATACTTGAATCTCTGGGTTCTATTACCAGCACCATATATAATACAGGTATTGTGGTACATGCCTATAATCCCAGCACTTGGGAGGTGAAGGCAGGAGGATCAGAAAGTCAAGGCCATCCTCCTCCACCTACCAAGTTCTAGGTCAAGACAGCTACTTAAGCTCCCATCACAAAAACAAAACAACAACAACAACAACAAAAACTTTGTGTTGGAGGGGGTCCTTCATGCAGTAGGGTCTAGGCTATGCTCTTTGTAGAAGGAGCATGTAACCTAAGACCAGAGGGGAGGTGTTCACTCAGATCTGGGAAGCTAGGTCTCGAAGGACTAACAATAACACTGGTCTTGAGGTTAGTGCAAACTTGAGCTGTTCAAGATATAGCAAGTTGGTAAAAGCCATCCAGCTGCCTGGTGCACATGGTGGAGAACAGATTGTGTTTAAGATTAGCATTTAAACAGTAAGCACATGTTAGCTATCATTTGACTCTGTGGGTGGGAAAAGGTCCAAGGTTCTCCGGAGCGAACTGATATCGATAAATGAATTATTACGTATAAGGAGGCTGTCACAAAGCATAATTGCTCGTTAACCCAGAAGTGTGTGTGCCCCTTTCTACAGGGGAAGGGCATGGAGAATGTGTGCCCTTCCTAAGGGGATTTAAATGATTTGGGGGAGGCCTTGGTGGGCTTAGAGAAGCTCACATTGCCCTGGGATGAAGGTGTAGACTCACAGAACAGTGAATGGCTGTAAATGATTCCTAGTGACATTGGACGGTACCAAAGTCAGGCACAATGGGATATGACAAAGGCCTATTCATCCATCATGCTGTTATGAGACTTGAGGATCATAGTGCGAGCCCTCAATAAGCAACAACCTGTTCTCAATAAGCCAATTGAAGGAGACATAGAAACTTGAACATGTTACATACGTACACATACATATGGGTATAATTTTGTTTTGTTTGTTTTTTAAGACAGGGTTTCTCTGTATAGGCCTAGCTATCCTGGAACTTGCTTTGTAGACCAGGCTGGTCTCAAACTCAGAGATCCACCTGCTTCTGGCTCCCAAGTGCTGGGATTAAAGGTGTGTGCTTCTATATCTGGCTAAAAAAATATATTTTAATATTTTTAATTGTGTGTACTTGTATGTGTCTGTAGGGATATGTGAGTATAGAGTCACAAAGAGACCAGAAGCAGGTCACTGGGTCCCCTGGATCTGGATCTGGTTTACAGGTGGCTGTGAGCCTCCAGACATAGGTGTTACAGAAAGTTTGTGCTTGAACCCCTCTTTTTAGTATGGGTGCTGTGGATGTGAACTTGGGTTCACATGCTTATGCAACAAGCAGTCTTAATTCAAATCCACCGAGTTATTTTTTTCAGACCCCCAAGGTGTGACTTTTGTCTTCAACTAAAGAGGCCTAACTTGACATCATTGCAGCCATGACAGGCAGCAGAGTAACAATACTGGGACTAGGCCTCAATATTTTCCTTACAATAACCAGGAAAAGCCGCAAACTGTACCCTGTGGGGGACCAATCAGAATTGAGACAAACAAGTACTAGATGCTTCAGAACATTAAGAATAGCTTTTATAGCTTGTATTTAGGTTACCAGTTTCCTTACAGCAATGCCGATACTGATCCCTGTCTGACCAGACTTCTGTTACCTCACTTCTGCTCAGTCAGGAGTTCAACCTCTATCTGAATCCAAAATTTTCCTACCCCACCCCCCCATCCTTTACTCCTTAAAAGCCCTGCCATAGCTGAGCTCAATGTGCTCCCTGATCCAACTGCTGTGTTGAAATGGACAGACAGTAAAGCTTGCTTTTGCATATGAACTCAAACTCCTGGTGGTTTTTGGGGGGGTTCATGAGGTGAGCATAACAGGAACTTTAGTACATATATGTGCTGTAGGTAGATGGTTTCTTTATGGCCAGTTTCAGGAGCATGGGGTGGAACTTTCAGGTTTTGTGATTGGTTTGGGGTGGGATGGGAGGCTCAGATTTCTATGATCACCCTGGGAAAGAAATTCTCTCATTCTTTTGTTGCCCTTTGCTTGTTTTGCACGAGAAACTGAACAGGAGGCAGGAGCATAGGCGGTCAGCTTCAGAGGCCTGATATGGGGCTGTCATTTTTCCGTGTCTCCAACATCAAGGTGTTAGTAATGCCAAGGCAACTAACCTGTTGTAGCCAGGGCTGGGGATAAGGACTCTTGTCACAAAAGGCCAAGAACAGCCGCAAAAGGAAGGTAGTGGCAGCTGTATGATGGCAGGTAGGAGAGATTGAATCTATGGGTCTTTTGTGTTTAAGCAATGGGGGCTGCTGACGTGGCCAAATTGGTAGAGTGCTCGTAGCTCCTATGGTCGAGAGCTTGTGACTCAGAAGAGTACTCGTGGCTGGGTTGGTAGTGAGCTTGTGGTTCAGTTCACAGAATGCTTGCTTGTTTAGCAGGCATTAGGCCTTGGGTTCTGTCCTCCGTCTTGTACCAAATGGACATGGGGGTCCTCGTCTGTGAGCTCAGCGCTTTGACTAGGAAACCTAAGAACAAGACCTTTATGGTAATTCTCCGCTATATATAATGAGCTCAAGGCCAGTCGAGGCTACAGGAGACCCTGCCTATAAACAAGCAAACAACAAACAAATAAACTGGGTGTGGGAGAAGGCAGATCTCTGAAGGTTCAAGAACAGCTGGTTTACTTAAGTGAGTTTCAGGCCAGCCAGCGTTACATAAGGGGACTCTGAAGAAAATGAAAAGATGAAGTTGGAGAGATGGCTCCACAGCTAGCAGCGCTTGCTCCTATTCCAGAGGACTGAGGTTCGGCTCCCAACACCCACAGCAGGAAGCTCACAATCAACTGTAACTCCAGCTCCCCCACCCCACGGTGGGAATAGGTCTGGCCCGTGCTAGGCAAGACCTTGAACTTCGATCCTTCTCCATCTACGTCTTGAGTGAATGGTTTGTAGGTGTGTGCCCTCACATCCCACCACTAAAAGTTTCCTGACCTTTGTTTGAAATCATACTGTCCAGTTCCCCGATGAGCACAGTGTTTGTGGCTCTCCGAGGGCATCTGGGAAATACTGCCAAGTGCCGAGTACACTCAGCTCTCAGGAGCACACACTGTTAGGGTCAGGTTGGCATAGGGCGGAGAATGTTGCCCTAGAACTGTCACAGGGAGAGCTGGACTTTGTGCAGTGCTCTTACCTCATCCAGGGCAAGCTAGTGAGCAAAACATGTTTGTTTTTTGCTAAACCTTGCCATGAGGTACCTTAGGGAAAGGGAGCAATCTGAAGCCTCCTGGGGAAGATGTCCCCTGCAGCCAGGAGTCACTTTTCCTTCCCTCAGACAGCTCTGTCGCTTCCCTCTGGAGTTCTGCTGCAAATGCCAGACCTTTGGGTAGGAAAACTTTTTGAAGAATCCAGAAAGGGAAGTTTTCACATTTTCTGTTTTTTTTATTTTTTATTTTTTTTATTTTTTTATTTTTTATTTTTGCTCTAGAGGAACACACTAAAATAGCTGAGACAAAACACCTGAGGGAGGTCCGAGGAAAAAAGCAGAATTTTGGATGAGTGTGGAGGGCTTGGCCCTCCTCCAAATCCATTAATCTAGGATCCATAGATTGGTCCATCAGTAACATCCGTGCCTCCATGAATCAGTCCCCACCCAAAGACTCCACACACTGTAACACACACACACAAACACACGTGCACACACCTTCAACACATGACCTTCTGAGAAATATCTCACACCCAAAGCACAACACAGACTCAGGAAATCATGGGTGCCTGGGAAGCGTGGGGAAAGAGACTATTTTATCTTTTTGCCCTAAGTAACACGTATAATGGAAGTCAGTCAGTATTTAGGCATTTGGCAAATGGGTATCAAAGACAAGGTGGGTCCTCACTTAGCAGCACTGGCCCCTGCAGCCCGTGTACTCCTGAAGCCAGCAGCCAAGCCACCAGAGCTGTGCATTTCTGTCAGAACCAAGCCTGGCCATTTGGAAGAAGGTTCTGGCACGTAGATGCACAAAGTGTTACCTAGTTATATGTGAGCCTCTGATTGAGAAACAGCAGGTGATGGCAACCTGGGACAGGGACTTGGCCTGTGCTCCAGCAGCGTCTGGGAAGGCTTCCTGCAGAAATGCTCCTTCCTTTCCCATCTGAGACACCCTTGTCACACCAGAAAATCCACCCTTTAAGAGTGCATAATCACCGGGCTGTGGTGGCGCACGCCTTTAATCCCAGAACTCGGGAGGCAGAGGCAGGTGGATCTCTGTGAGTTCGAGGCCAGCCTGGTCTACAGAGGGAGTTCCAGGAAGGCTCCAAAGCTACAGACAAACCCTGTTTCGAAAAACAAACAAACAAACAAACAAAAAAACCCAAAACAAAAAAAAAGAGTGCATACTCCATGGTGGTGGAGAGATGGCTCAGAGGCAAAGAGCATGGGTTGCTCTAGCAGAGGACCCAGGTTCAGTTCCCAGCACCTACATGGTGACTCAGAACCATCTATCATTCCAGTTCCAGAGGACCCAATGGCCTCTTCTGACCTCTGAGAGTACTACATGCATATGGCGTACATACATGCAGGGAAAACACTCATATACATGAAATCAATTAAAATATAAAAAGGAAGTACATAATTCAGGGGATGGGCTCCGGGGCCTTATGCATGTTAGGCAAGTGCTATTCTCCTACATATATCCCCAGTCCTTTATTTTTGTCATTCTTTTGTGCCGTGGTCACCTCTGTCCTGAAAGGCGCTATTTAGTCCAGATGGGTCTCAAACTCACAGAGACCCTCTTGCCTCAGCCTCGTTGGATCTGCCATACCAGGCACACAGTGCCATGCTTGGCTTTAATTTCCTTATGCTGCTTTCATTTTATTTTGAACACGGGCATCGTTGATTACGGAAATTCTCCCCTGTGACACACGGAAGCAATTAAGCTTTACTATTCACAGGAAGAAGAGGGCTGTAGAGACTGTGGAGATGGCTCAGCAGTTAGGAGAGCTCTAATGCTCTTGCAGAGGGCACGAGTTCAGTTCCCAGCATCTACATGGTGGCTCACATCCACCTGTAACTGCAGTTCTAGTGAGTCTGATACCTTCTTCTGGCCTCTGTGGGTACTGCATGTACATGGTGCAGATGCACACATATAGGCATATATATATATTTTAAAAAGTCATATGAATAAATCTTTAAAAGGTATTGGGCTATTGTTGGGAGGTGGATGGAGTGATCTCTAATCTTCAGTCATGAATATGCAAATTGGTTCCCTCTCTTCACAGAGATGATGAACCATTTATTAAAGTTTCTTTCTCTCT